CAGCTGTGTGAGCGGTTGGTGTGTCATCTTGGTAACCTGGAATCAGGAAGAGAAGCTAGCATCCAGCTGGAGATCAAAGTGAACCCCGCTGTACTTCTACAAGCTCCAGTAATAACACACAGCTACTCAGATGAGCCTTTAGTGTCTAGCACACTAAGTCTCCAATTACATGCAATCTGATTTACTTTTTACATGAACTACTGCACCATGTTGAAGCATTGTTTGTTTCTATATTTTTCTGTTTTGGTGAAAACTCTTCACAGACAACAGCTCATGTTTTTCTGCTTGTATCTGTCCCAGGGTCGTCATGGCATCATGAGGATAGAAAGCACAGCGACTATATCAAATCCCAGAGAAGGTCCTCACACAGTCTTTATCCATGAACAACGAGCAGCGGAGGTAAAACACCTTGTCACCAGTTACATCTTAACAACACTGTAAAGTAAGACAAAGACCACCAACATCTGGATCGAGCTTTCTATGAGTTGAAAGTTTAAAAAAGTAACCTGATACCTACTTCTATGTGCTGTTAATACTCATAAGTCCTGTGTGTTGTTAATACTCATACGTCCCGTGTGTTGTTAATACTCATACGTCCCGTGTGTTGTTAATACTCATACGTCCCGTGTGTTGTTAATACTCATACGTCCCGTGTGTTGTTAATACTCATACGTCCCGTGTGTTGTTAATACTCATACATCCCGTGTGTTGTTAATACTCATACGTCCCGTGTGTTGTTAATACTCATACATCCCGTGTGTTGTTAATACTCATACGTCCCGTGTGTTGTTAATACTCATACGTCCCGTGTGTTGTTAATACTCATACGTCCCGTGTGTTGTTAATACTCATACGTCCCGTGTGTTGTTAATACTCATACGTCCCGTGTGTTGTTAATACTCATACGTCCCGTGTGTTGTTAATACTCATACATCCCGTGTGTTGTTAATACTCATACGTCCCGTGTGTTGTTAATACTCATACGTCCTGTGTGTTGTTAATACTCATACATCCCGTGTGTTGTTAATACTCATACGTCCCGTGTGCTGTTAATACTCATACGTCCTGTGTGTTGTTAATACTCATACGTCCCGTGTGTTGTTAATACTCATACGTCCCGTGTGTTGTTAATACTCATACGTCCCGTGTGTTGTTAATACTCATACGTCCCGTGTGTTGTTAATACTCATACATCCCGTGTGTTGTTAATACTCATACGTCCCGTGTGTTGTTAATACTCATACGTCCCGTGTGTTGTTAATACTCATACGTCCCGTGTGTTGTTAATACTCATACATCCCGTGTGTTGTTAATACTCATACGTCCTGTGTGCTGTTAATACTCATACGTCCTGTGTGTTGTTAATACTCATACGTCCTGTGTGTTGTTAATACTCATACGTCCTGTGTGTTGTTAATACTCATACATCCCGTGTGTTGTTAATACTCATACATCCTGTGTGTTGTTAATACTCATACGTCCTGTGTGTTGTTAATACTCATACGTCCCGTGTGTTGTTAATACTCATACGTCCTGTGTGTTGTTAATACTCATACGTCCTGTGTGTTTTGTTTCCAGGTGGTGGTGGACACTCTTTTCGCACAGAAGCCCTCAGCATTAGTGAAGATCTTCATCGTCGTGGTCAGTCTAGTTTTGGGTCTGATGATCCTGTCTGCTCTTATCTGGTGTCTGTGGAAGGTAAAACTTGGTTTTGTTTATTTTGTTTTTACATAAAAATAAATAAATAAATATTTCTGATATGGTAACATTTAAGTCGGCTTGTGCAGGGATCAAGAGAAGTTGGGTCTTTCTAGATAACATAACAAAGAGTACAGTCTTTTACCTGCTCTAATTAGAGTGTCTTGAGATGACATGTGTTCGGAATTTGAGTGATACAACTAAAGATTGATTGAGACTATACATTCAAATGGAAATGCATATTATAATATGATGCACAGATAAACTGGTGTAATCATGATCGTGTATCATGTGACGTACCGAGAACTGCAGAATTCAGCGATTAGGTTGACTAAAAACTTCAGCATACGATATAATGGTCGTGAAACTGCGGTAATATGGTAGTATGATGATGGTTAAAGCACAGTTGTTTAAAAAAAGGAGGTAGTTATTCGCACATCACGTTGCTTCAGGGCAATGCAAAATCAGCAGACTTAGGGAGAAGGTCGGCCCACACACATGCTCAAACGCCACAAACCAGAGGTCTTCTTCAGGTGATCGTTTTTGAACGTTGTGATCAATTAAAAGAATTGCACTCTACTGCAGTATGATGCACTGAGAAATACAGCAGGATATTTCAATATAATAGGATTTCATAATGGTATACCATATTGCAGTCTAGTTACTTTATACTTTATTTTAGACCCATAGGTCCATATCGTCCATAAAAAAGCACATATATATAAATACAGGACATTAACAAAGGGATATCGTCACTACTTGTGATTAAAATACAGCGTGTATCAAAATGTTAATAGTTGTAGTAATAAAACAATTTAAATGTTTTTCTTTATGTTTCTGTCCGTCTGTTGTCTCTCAGGCTGGATTCTTTAAGAGGGACTTCCAGAAGAGTAAAGAGGAGGAGAAGTTCAAAAGAGACAGCTGGGACTATGTTCCTAAAAATGACAAACGAGAGAGCACTTCCTAATCCTGACCGTCACCTCCGGCTATCACCGCTGATATCTGAACACAGAGTGGAGCTTTACGTGGTGACTGTGCAACAGTCACTAATAAACTGATGGATGGGATGCTGTGTGTGAAAACATGGCTACCCCATTTCTTTGAAAACAGAAGGAAGTACGACTGTTGGACCTCATCAGCCAATGAAATCTGTCCAGACTGTGTCAGGTGGTTTACAGCCATACTGAGACAACACAGACACGTCTCGAGTGTGACGGCTCATTAACTGTCTCCCAAACACATCTGAATCCGACTGTGCCTTAAATGAAATATTTTTGCTTCGATGTGCCTTCACAAAGTTAAAAGACTTGAAGAAGACTGCAGCAATTGATGAATGAAGGATTAAAAAAAGGGAAATGGTCGAATAAGGAGGTCTCGGGGCTTCCCTGGGATGTGGCCTGAGGCCTCCACTTTGGATTTTTTTAAAAGGAAACCAAACAAAGGAAGAGACTTCTTGATGACCTTTGATCTCAGGTGGCGGCAACCTGGCCTCTGATTGGCTCAAACTCTCTGGAAAACCTCCTTTTTTGTCTGGGTGCTTAGTCTTATGATGTTTTTGTTTACCTGCTGACCAACATGTTATGCACTGGCCACACACACACACACACACACACACACACACACACACACACACACAGAGAACATACTGGCTATAATGTACCGTTGTTGCACAGAGGAAGTAGTCAAGCTGTGGCTTCTGCAATGTGCTGGTGCTGGATGTGATAGAACTGCATTTTTTCTGTGGGTCAGACTTATTAAGACTGACACTGGTAGCAGAATTCATCTGTGTCTCAACAGATATCACTTCTTTTTTTTTAAGTCACTCTTCACTCTTGGATAAATATTTTGGAAGAACAGAGAGCTGGAAAGTACAAAACAAGAAAGCCTGAAAGCCATTGCGACTGAAAAGTGTGACCATGTCCCAAGTTGACTAAAGGTTTAGCGATAAGCTCAGTGGCTGCTGTAGTTCACCAGAAAAACTCTTTTTACTATTTGGCAGTTGTGGCTCCTCATTTTCCTCAGTTGCATCATAACTCCAATCAGCACAGAAGGAGAGAGAGAGGGATGTTCTTTACCAAATTCAACAGCATGTCTGTCACTGGCATTATTTAGAGGACACAGCAACAGCTCAGGACACACAACACTCAAAACAGCATTTTGAATTGTAAGCCAGCTAGAAATTGCCTGGGTCGGAATATTAATAATAATAAACTGTTTTATCTTTAACGCACTTTTCAGTGGAAATAAATCTCAACGACAGAATTAAAAAAGAAAGCAAACGCTGAGAGAAAGCAGAAGTTGAAGAAGTATGATTATTTTTAAAAAATCAAGTAAGCGTGGGAATAAGTTAAGAACACGAGTGAACATAGTATCTTTAAGAGCCTCACCACAGGCACTCAAGTCTGTCTCCACTGTTTTAATGCAGCTCAGAACAGTTTATATTATTGGGTTCAGGTTGACAGGCTGCTGTCTTGATTTAATAAAAAACTCCCGAGCTCCTCTTATATTTTTAATGTGCAGATCTTTTTTCTCATGAAGATCGGAGGAAGCTGAATTATCACACTTGGAATCACAAAACTCCAACTTTGTCACCAAGAAACAAATACGACAGGGACGTACTTTGTGGTTTGATCAGTCTGAATTCACATGTTCGCGTGCTTATCACATTATTAAGATCTGTTTCCTACTTGTGTGGTCCACTAACGAGCCAAAACTGATGTGAGAAATGTACCAGAAAATGTCTTAATGCGTTTGGGGACAAGCTGAGAACGATGTAAGACAAGCAGCAGCCTTTTTCTTAGAAACATGATGTGACATTAAGAAAGGCTTGACTGTAATCTACTGTTTCAACATCACTTAAATACGTTTTATCAACTTTTCTAGGTAACAATAATGGAGCATTTCTTCTCATTTGAGATTTATATCAAAAATAAATAGTATTTATAGTGTGCTTTTCAAGACCTGCACAGACAGAACACACAGCCAGCAACAAACTGAGTCACAGGGTTAAAAGATGGAAGACTACTTGAAAATTAGAAAATGTTGAAGATATCTAATTTACTCAAAACTTAGTTTAATGTTCAGTTTGTTGCAGACGTAGAAATTTAAAAGCAGCTGCTATGCTTCCTTCTGTTTATGTATTTTGTACAAATGCACAACACACAGATGTTTTTTTTTTTAATATTTTAATTAATGAGTTTGTCGTTTTGTTTATGTGAAGATATTCTGCACTGGAGAGTCTCACTGCTTTTATCAACACTTTCCATTAAAATTAAGGATTTTCTATTTAAACAATTTGAACTTGCCTCTTTTTTCTTTTACTGGTGTTAGTTTCTCTCATAATTAGAAATAAGATGAGGTCATATTTAAAACGCTCTTTGGACTCATTGACTCAGTCCAACACACAAACACCTATAAAACAATCAGTACAATCAGGGCTTTGTTGAAGTGAATTGAACTCCTTTTTCTTACCATGTTTGAGTCAATCCACATTTTTTAAAATGTCCCACATTTAAGTTTGGACTCATCATAATAATAATAATATTAGAAAAGTATTTACTCACTGCCATAGCAACAGGAAAACAGAATAAAAAGTTACAGTTAAAAAAAATAGGCAAATAAAAGAGGTAAAAATGTAAACATTAATTTGATTAGAAAACCTTTATCCTTATTGTTTAAGTATAGAGGTGATAAACTTGCATCTTCAAAAAGCACAGGTAGTGAAAGTTAGCTTATGGGTAACTTGATACGTTATTAAATATGCAGTTGTCAATAAAAAAAAAATAGATTTATGAAGCTTTAATGTCATGATCAGAAAGCTGTGAGAATCTGTCTCTAATCTGTTTTTTGCTGCTTTGACAGAAGCCTTAGTACAAGTTCATGTTGTAGCGTTTACAGTAATGACCTGAAGAGGGCAGTGTCAAATCATTTGTGGTTACTAAGGTGACGTGTCTTGTTTGTAACAAACACACAAACAAACACACAGGAGCAAATCCTCTGCTGGACTCAGATGCAGCTGCAGGAAACTGTCGACTCCGCCTCGTCCACCTCGTCCACCTCCTCCCCGTACAGAGTGATGAGCTGAGGGTGGACCCTGAACAACACACACATTCAGGTTTTCATCACTTCAGAGGACATCACTTTGGATTGAGTAATTTCCTGAAGATTTACCCAAACTAATCCCCCAACAGTTCTTTCCATACCTCTAACCCTCACCTTACCCTGACTTTAAAGCAAGTCTTCACCCTAACATTTAATGATAAACAGGAACTTGACTAATACATGTCCCCACAATGTGAGTTTGTGAACAGTGACCCCAAAAACAAGTGAATAGATGTTATTCATATACATGTCCACACCCAGGCCAGAGACAGTTGTGGCTTTAATAAATAGGACTATATAAAAAGTAGATTTAGCAACGCAGATCCAAAATACGTCCAAATATGGTCACTTCTGGTTCCAAAGAACTAAGATGGCGGTTGCTGAAGTGCCAAACTTTTTTAAATTTGCGATGAAAGAATGAAAATCAAAAGTTAATCACAATTAATTTAATTTTTATTCAAATGTTTGATATGCATTTATTTTGCATTTCAATTATGTTTTGTTAATGCTTTTATTTTGTAATTTTGTACTGTCTTAAGCTACTTTACTTCCTGTTTCAATACATCCCTGCTTTTATTTTGAAAGAGATAAAATAATAAGAGATTCAATAACATTAACTTAACCACGGAATAAAGGAACATGTTGCAGATCAAAAAGTAAATGAAAACAGCTCAAGAGGACGTTAGAAAAGTGAAATGTGTGAAATATCAGGTGGATATGACTTTTGAATCGTCAGCTGAGCCATCTGGGAGTTTAAAAAAAAAAGAAATTAACAAAATGAGCCATTCAAAGGCGCAGAGTTTCATTCTTTTCCATCACTGTGACTACTGGCATGAAATCCTTCAGGGATAATAAACATTTCTATTCAATATAAATGTATATGAAATATTTTCCATTTCACTGTGTGTAATGACACCGTGCAGATTCATTCAATCTATAATTGAATTATTATTTTTTTCGAGTATCAGACCTGATGAGCACTTCGTTGGCGATCTCCACTAGCTCTCCGTCGATGTTCCACGGAAAGGCAGCTCCCTCTGATTGGATGATGGGCGACGTTCTGGAGTCTCCCTCTTCCTCGCTCTCCTCCTCCGACCAGCCAATCTTGGACCGCGGGCGGATCCTTACCGCTGACACATCATGAGTTTCCACGAAGGAGAAGCTGAACTGCAGACAGGAAATTAGAACAGATGGACCGACAAACTGATCAGGAGAAAAAAAAAAACATAGTGTGTGTGTGTGTGTGTGTGTGTGTGTGTGTGTGTGTGTGTGTGTGTGTGTGTGTGTGTGTTCGTGTCCTGGCATGTTAATGGTCAGCTGATAGGAACAAAAAAAGCTCTGATCCTCTTTAAACAGCTTGTTAATCTGGAACAGTGACTCAGTTTCTTCCTGTTTACTGTCCCTTGTGTAGCATCGTGAAACTCTAACAGGGGGCAGCAAAGACCAACAGACGGACCGACGGACAGACAGACAATATGTCACTTTTCAGCGCTGAGAAATTAGGATGTGCACATGTATTTTCTTTTCAAACAATAGACGAACTGATAAAGAAGATAATCAAAAAGAACAAAATAGAGTGTTTTCTCAGTATATTCTGAGATAGGGCTGTAGAAACATTTTAAAGAGAAGAAGGTTTCTTTGAAAGTTTGTCTTTTGGAACAAAACTTCTGCTTTGTTATACCTCCCTTTTATTGGATCTTATTATTTAAAAAAAAAAAAAATCTACACAAAAATAAATAAATGAAAAAAAGCAGGATGAATTTTTTTTGATCATTCATCTGAAAATGCAGTTACACTTGAAGTATTTCTATACAAACATCCACTAACAGGACGGACTCAGGTGAGGCTCTCTGTCCACAGTGTGTTGTCATGGATACATGTAAGCTGCTCACCAGGATCTCGTTGTGTTTGACGCTGAGCTGTCAGTCCTAAAGTCAGTGTGAAGGCTAACAGGATGTAGGTCAGTGAGTAAACAGCCAGTTTCCAACGCAGGACAGTGAACGACGAGCCAACAGTATATTTAGTAAGTAGGTTAGTGTGCGGTCTCTGAGGCCAGGCCGGTCCAGACCAGGCCGTGCTGAACCAGGCTAATCTACTCACCAACTAGTTTGTTTATTTGGTACATGTGAGGAGGAGACAGCGAGATCAGGATTGAAACACATATCCAGCTTACGGAGATAAATAAAACACAGCCCGTACTCGATCAGCAAAATACCCTGAATCATTAAGCTCTGACTTCAAAATGTATTCTTGGGGCGCAGTTAGACTAGTGGTTAGTGCGTGTGCCCCATGTACGGAGGCTGTGGTCCTCCAAGCGGGCGGCCTGGGTTCAAGTCCGACCCGTGGCCCCTTTTTCCTGCATGTCATTCCCCACTCTCTCTCTGATTATAACCTCTATCTCCTATCTCTAAATAAGGGCAGAAAAATCCCATAATTATTATTATTTATTATTCTTTAACCTGAAATTAGATCATTTGTGAGTAAAAGCAGCATCAATTACATTTTGGTAAAACTAGCTTGTGCATGTGCTCAGCCCTGAAGAGTATTTGGACGAGGTAGCAGATAGAAAGCAATCATCTTCACCTGTTTATGCAACGCATAAAAGAAAACTGTTTTTGCGTTATGCTGCTCATCAATATATTATTGCTCTGCCATTTAAGACTGCCCATCATCTCAGCCAGGAAAGGGTGATTTAAGGATTTTATTATCAATTTTACATTTAAGCAACTGAGCAGATCTTGTACCCAATGTGCAGGTGTTACACTCCACATGGCTGTCTCAGGTTCAAGTCCAGCCCTCAACATTTGCTGCTTGTCTTTCCCGTACTGTCTCTCTCCCTCTCAATGTTTCCTGTCCTATCAATAAATGAGTTGAACAGCCCAACAAATCTTCTTTAAGGTAAATTAATGGGATTCAATAAATTGTTTTGCTACTGGATTTCAATTCCACATAAACCTATCAAACCCTGAATCCAAAAGAACGTTGCATTTAAGAGCTGTTTTTGTCCCCTGACGAAGTGTCATACTGCTCTCACCTGTCCACTGGAGCTGTTGTATCTCTTCAGGTGTTTGATGAACTCTGACCTGGAAGTGTTTCCCACTGCGATCAATGACGCGCTACCATTTGAAACCCTTTCACAAACAGGAAGTGAAAGAGAAACACGATGTCACGACCGGCAGTGTGGTGCGTTCAAGGTCACAGCAAAGCTTACCTATGACGTTCTGCTCATCATACACAACATGTACCTGCTGTTAGGAGCCAGTCCTTGAGGTACATGTGGACTCAGACAGGGGATGGACATGATGCCGATGCTAATATACAGGCCCTGATTGGTTGTCCAGGACTCCTCCCCCTCTACACAGACAAATCACAGAGAGTAAGGCAGTAAACCAAAAATGATGAAAGACAGAAATCTGACCACGACCGTGTAAAGACTGACAACTGCTGGTCTCACCTGAGTCCGGGCCCTGGTCCTGGTCTCTGAACGGGAGGACAGAAATACATTTTTAGAACAATGTTTGCTGTTTTCACACTTCTCAGAAAAAAACAATCAATGTGTACTTAGGTTTTTTCTAGTTTATGTTCAAATAAAATATAGATTTTCTTTAAAACAATTATTTTAAAACTTGACTAGATGTCAAGTGTTGGACTTGTGTTTTTGTTTTGTTTTTGGTATAGAAAAGTAAGTAAATAAATGTTATCTTTAGTGTAGCAGCTTTCACACAGCAAGGTTAAAACAATTGCAATACAAATAACAATCCACTGTATGTTTACTGTTTCACATCAGATGTTCAAAGCTGTTGGAGGGAGTTAACCACAATTTTTGATTGAATAAAAAAGTGGTCTAACAACAATGTTGCTTAAGTAGAAGGGCTCAGCGCCTGAAGCCCGACCCCGGTTACAAACCACCCACTGCAGCTGGTTTAAACAAAGTTTCTTTTTGTCTAAAGACAGACTACATTTTCTATACACAAGATAGTCCATGTGTTTGTGTGTTTGTGTGTTTGTGTGTTTGTGCATGATTCTCACAGGTGATCAATCAAATTCTTGTTTGATGTCTTCGCTGGTAAAAAAGACAGCTGACAGTCTTCTGGTCTGCAGGAGGGAAAAACAAAGGAGGGACTAGGGTCAGTTTGCAGCTATGCTAGCAGCTTAGTAAGGTTATGATCAGGCACAGTGCTGCTTTAAGCTAACATGCTATATATTTAGCATATGTGATGTTTACAGCATCTTAGTTTAGATTATTAGCAAGCAAAAAATTGTTTAATAGCAAAAGAAGAATGGATGGTAAAGAGTAAACATGTGGGTGACTCTAAAGGAAAGCATAGTACAGTTTCAAAAGTACAATCAGTTTACTGCACATTGCACAAGTTTACTTTTTCTTTACATTTTATTTTATTTTATTTACCATTTTGTACCTTTTGCACAATTTAGAATTTATTACTGTAAATATTATTTATCTTATTTTACCTCATTTTATTTGATCTATTTTACCTTATCTTATTTTACCTTATTTTGGTTGTATTGCACCGCGGGACGGAGACAAACGCAATTTCGATTCCACTGTATGTCTGGCATATTTTGAAATTGACAATAAAGGTGACTTTGACTTTGATAGAGGATCAGATTATGAGAAAATTAGCGTTGTTGCAAGACATGGATGTAATATAACAAAATACAGCAGCACATTTACATTGGTATTAAACTCCATTTCTTCAGCCATTATGCTAGAAGCATGGCAAGAGCTCTCTTAATTTTGTATGTTTTGGTCAAAAAATATCTAAAAAGCTTGAATTAATATTTGTTCTGACAGAGCTTCAAATCTGAACAATGTATGAACTCTTCAACCCTGAGAAAAAAAAAGATGATAAAATCTCCCTAAATTGTGTGTGTATTTGTGAGTGTGTTACCTCAGCCTTGCCAGAGTCTTCACCAAAGCGTACTCCCGTCGCCTTCCTGATGGCATCCACCTCTTCTTCTCTGCCCTTGCTAAGCTCCGCCCACCAAAACCAAACATGGCGGAGAACCCGAAACACACCAACTGGCCGAGAGACGTGAAGCTGCACATGTCCACCTGCTGTTTGTGACCTGCACACAGACAGAGGGAGAGCTTTAATTTACTGATGATTCTTATTTGGATACTATCAGGAGAAGCGGTCTTACAGTGAGAAGGTCATTCATATTCATGAGAAGCAGGACACCAAATATGAGCGACAGAAAGAGGTCAGGAGTGTGTATGTGTGTGAACATCTACAAACTTTAGGGAAATCACATCGCAGTAGAGTGACCACTCTCTGGTTGTTGTTGCTCCAGTTTGACCAGCCTATGGCTGTCCATCAGTCCAGTGTCACCAGCTTCAAAGGCGGCAGAATTTAGAGGATTTTAAAGCAGATTTAGGACAAATTTGTGTCTCAGTGTCTGTTAATAATTTTTCCAAAGCAGTGATGATTCTCACATAACAACTTTAGATTTGGTCGGAGATATTGATGGGCTATATGATGTGCAAGGTAAGGATCATGTGACCAATAGGGTCACCTTGTTAGGGTGTACGACATGAAGGAACATTTTGGAAAACTGGACCCTACTTTTTTTTACAGCTTTCAATGCAAACCACAAGTTTCTTTCTTTCTTTCTTTCTTTCTTTCTTTCTTTCTTTCTTTTTACTGTGTGGCATCCAGGAAATATTTAAACTACTCTTGTCTTTAAAAGCAGCTCAATCCCAGAA